ACCAAGCTGTGTTTCAGATTCGACGATAAGATGTTAACGAATCCTGTAATTAAACCGAGATACGCTTCGCAGCAACGGAAACAGTTACCTGTAACGAACTTGCTTGCTTCTTAAACAACGCGACGTCGCTAATTATTAAAATGTTACGTAACGACGAACGAATTGCGTAGAACCGTTTCGTAGTCGTGTTCAAAGATCTTCTTCCCGTTTAAAAGTCTTACGAAACTCGACGGAAAAAGAATTGAGTTTTTCTTCTGACACAGTGCTACGCTGTTGCACGCGAGACGCGAACACGACGATTTCCTATCGTTAGTTTCTTTCTTTGGTTAACCAGCACAAGCAATCCTCGGGATCGTCGGGCAATGGACCGTGAGTTACGCGAGTCGCGCGGTGTTACGTCGCGCGTCGCGTCGATAGGTCTTAAATAGATTTGCTTCGAACAAAGTTCAATGTAAATGAACTCTAAACGAGTTAAAAGCGTAACAACGAACCTGTGTTGCTCTCCGATGTGCTGGTCGTAAAGAGAATACGCGAGTCTCCCAGAAACTGGGACGTTTCATTTTTAAAAATGTTCTACGTGTCCTTTATTATCTGATAGAAAAGCTTTAGGAATTTTAGGACGTAGGTTCTGTGGTAAGTGCCGAGCGGTCGATCATAGTCCTCTTACCAAAAGGCATCGCCTTTCCCGATCCGTGGCCAGTTCCTTCGAGAACATGGTTGGATAACAAATTAATCCTTTTACAAGCTTTGAAATTGATATATTTGTAATTATTTGTAATAAAATTCAATTCACAGGTTTTGCACTACAGATTAAACCTTTCGCAGGTTATAATCACCTTGGCGAAAAAATAAAGAAAAATGTCTCGAAAACAATAGATTTTCCGGAAAAATGTTAAGTTGATTTAACATTGAGGGTGTGTGTGTATGAGAGAGAAGTAATGGGATAGGATGTACCACTATATTTCTTGTGTTTGGGATGTCTTATAAATTGATCCATTAGCGTAGTTCTGGCAAAATACGACCGCGTATAAATCGCCAGCGCGTCACATTAGACAGCGCACTCGACATGTGTCAAGTTTATAGTATGCTTTCCCGATATAAAAGCTGTCAGATTCTGCGAGTTATGATAAGCCAAGGGGTGTTAGACTCGGCGTGTCGAAGTGGAGGCTGCGCGAGGGAGAATTGTCTTCGAGGTACGCGGCGCAAGAGCCAAAGCCATAAAAGAGTGGGATCCGTGAGGATAAGAGGGCGAGACTCGCGGGGAAGAGGTGTCCGATCGAGTAGAACCGCGTTCGCAATAATGTCTCGCGCCTCGCACACAAATTACCCCACCGCGAAGGTCTGCTCTTGGTAAGCGTGGTCTGGCTTATCGTTGGCGCGTTGCTCTTGGTCATCTACTCGTTCAAATTGTCTCGTACAAACACCGGCTGCACCCCTTTCGAATATTACAAGCTACTGAAAATTAAAAAGGGGTCCTCGCTTTTCGCTCGTGGAAGCGATACAGTAAAGTTTACGTTTCATCATATAATTACTCTTTTATATACATAGATGTATTATCTCCGAATAGTTCTCTCAGCGATGCATCGAATTTCCGCACTTCGTAGACTTTGCTGAATAGCTTAATAGTAGAAATTGATTTTACAGAGAAAAAGTTAATTTCAGAGTCTACGTGGATACGATAATTTTGACTGCTGTCGGAGAATAGCGTTGCAAGTCCTTCGTGTTTTGGATACCTCTTTCAACAGCCTGTATACGGGGTGCACGGCTCGCAGAAAGTTAGGGGACCGCATCCGCGAACCCGAAAAATGGTGTCAAAGTTCTAATGGTTACAACTCCGACGAAAATGGTCGTATCGATATCGTGGAAACGTCGCTTCAAAGTGTGGAATCTCCACTCTCCGCATACTTGTACGCATAAATACATATTCGTGTACAATGTGCATACTTTTCACACATATTAAGACTGAAAAACCTCGTTGAGCGATACGTTCGATAAATGCCACGAATAATTTAAAATTCATTCGCATCATTTTCAAATTGTTAAGAAGATATTTTCAAAAATCTCGCGATCGGTGCACCGTGTTTTGCTCGAGTAATCGGCATATATTTTGCCTGTATAACATTAATTCTACATTAATTAACGCGACTTCGCGAAGTTGCACGGGGCTGCGGAGAGATAATTGTGGAAGGGGAAGCAAAGGAATCACATCGTAGAATGCTCGATGAAAAAGCAAGAGAAAGATCGATCCTTCTTTTTTTAAGACATTTTTTGCTTCTACAAACGAGACAAACGAGGCGAAATTTTTGTTTAAAGTTCGTTTGATCTACCGACGATTTATGGCGACGGGTCTTTCGGATAGAACGTTTCGTAGCTGTAGGTTATTTCGATGGATATTTAAGCGATATTAGCAGCGATACGAAATAGCAGAAAAATTGGCCACTGGTGTTCGGAAGCTTGATAAAAATTCAAACTATATTTCATCGCGGTACCGGATATCCTTTGAACATAAATATTTTATTCTACTCTCGTTTGGTCGATGCGCGTAAAACTACCTCCGTTCCGTTTTTTGTGCCGCGATCTCGATTTCATTTATATTATCCTCTCAACGTTTGGATTTCCGAATACGGATACTCGGACTTGTTTCTTATCGCTTCCGGTCGTGTTGGGCATCGTTTAAAATAAGCAGATATACGCGTGTCGCGTCGTTCTCGTTTCTTCCTAAGAAATGTAATTTCGTTCGACTCGGCGAGCGTACGTACAATCTCTTTGGAGATACGTTTTGCCCGCGAGTTACGTATCTCTTTTTTGATTTTTTTTCTATGAAATATAAACGAAAAGGTGTCGAGTCGCGCAAGGTTCGCTGCAATCGTGGTACGTTGAACGTGTAAAAAAAATATTATACCGCTTCGACCAGAGGACGGTGGTTTTATCATCGCGGAACCATGTGCTCGATTTGCTGAAAAAGAACGAAGAGGAAACTTTGAAAACGGAGAAATTATAGAAAAAGACGTCTACGAGTGTTCCAAGAAAGAATCGCGGAGAAAAGTGTAAGGAAGAAACTCTGAAAACAAGGAAACTGTGGAAAAATAGGTCGACGAGTTTATTAAGGAAAAGAATACGATTAAGGTTGAATTCCAACGGCGCAATTGTTTTCGAATGAAACAGAATTGCGGTAATATAATTGAACCGCCGGTTATTCGTTAAAATGATATACGAATTAGATCGTACGCGACGGTTCTGTGACATCGAGCGGACTAAATGTTTGAAAAAAATTAAAAAACCAAATGTGCAATGTCAGGACACTCGTTTCACCGTTCCATCGCGTTGCGAACGATGAATTCCAACAATGAATTCGAACAACTTCGACGTTCGTACATCTTACTAATTTGTTTGAAAATTTTAGGCACGCAACCTTAAAATATCGATCGAACGGCGATGTTATAATATTTCCATATACATACATGTATGTATGTTCGATAGCTCGTTATAGAAGCTTGGCGCTAGAACGAAACGTTGTTACAAAATTCTAACAACTTGGAATATTCGAACTTGTTTTTCCTAAAATTGTAAGCTTTTTTAACGATGTGATCGTAGCAACGAATAAGCGATGCATCGTTGGAAATATTAAAAAATAATAATTCTCTTTTGAGGAGCGCGGAACATTTAAAGACGCTATTTCAATTTTCCCATCGTTGTCTGGATCACCATCTTATCGTATGAAAAATTCATTTCACAACTCCTTACCCTTCGAAGTACCGAACACCATCTTTTATTACACTATAAAATTTATTTCTCCTAGTATAAAAAATCAGGAGCAGCACTAGGGGTCCATAAAAGTACAGTTTCAAATATTATTACGACACTTCGATGTCGACCTCGTTTCAACAATGGGAAATCCATTTGCACTGGCATAAAGATACTAAACATTTTACGATCGAAAGACAACGTTGTTAACACGTGACCGATATAACATTGGTACTCCCTGACGGAGCAAAATGACTTGGTTAAGATTTTGTATTTTACAATGAATAAAGTTATTCGACAGATTTTTGACTCGCACAGGGCGATTGGCGAATGGCGAATGACGAAAATGGCGAAGACGGTGGAGACGGTGGAGACGCGATGACACGCGTATAAATGAAACTGTTATACGTATAAACTGTATCGCCGGAAGATCCGTGGGAATAGATTTCGTACTCGAGTTTCGCCTCGATGCCAGAGCGTTCGACACTCTGGGAAATTTGTGTCCTACTCTTAAACGAATTTATGACCTGAACTCAAGGTGGTAGAACACCCTGGTTTTCCGGTGTCGTATATCGAAATGTCTGAGATAACAATTAGCAGATTCCCTGAGAGTCGCCGAAATGGATTTCGTTCGCCTTGGATTGCTCGTCCGTCGCACAGCGAGACGGTCCGATCGCGTTAAGAAGACGGACGAGGGAACGTACGAATCGACGACAACAATTTTGTCGCTGTTCCATTGGGACACGGTATAAGACGCGAAAAGCCATTCGCTCGACGCTCGATGCTTTTAATGTTATGTGTCTCTCTCTCGACAAGATTATTATTCGAACTTGGATCGTCGAGTTCCAATCCGCGAGCGTGAGACGACGTTGAGCATGATAAAGGAAGTCTTAAAAAGGAGAGTTCCGTTCGATGGAAGTTCAAAGCTACCGTCGCGTAATTTCGATCGGAATACCGAGGCTCGAATACGGAGGCTCCTGCCGAATCGGTCGACGAATAGCAAGCGAAAAAAGAGCAGGAAGAGAAGAGAAGAGACGGTCGACTCGATGGAGTCGAGCGATGCAAGAACGATAATACTTTGCACGCGCCTCGTCGCGTCGCGTCGCGTCGCGTCGCGTCGTCGGAACGTCGCGAGGGCGGAATATAAGAAGTCTCTCGACTCGCTAGGCATCTCCGCTATTCGTTCGATCCCCACCACCTTCCGCAGCAGATTGTCCGATCGGAGTTCAACCCCCTTATCGTGGTTCGGTACTCACCGATCACGTAGCTATAGCCGTCCAAGGTGAGAACACACTTGCGTGTGTTGGAGGAGCTCGGAATGCCTGGTACAAGTCTGCGGGAAATTCGCTTACCAGGGCTGCAAGGAGTACCGGCGGTACTTACAGCACCTGGGTCCGAGTGGCACTTCTGCACGGGGTCTTTGCTTTGTCTAGACATCATCGTTCTCTTCTGCGCCACTTGTACGCCACTTCTCCGGCAAAAGCAGGAAGAAAGGAAACCTACTTCCGCACCATTCCCAAGCCAGTCCGTGTCTACTTATCCACGCGACGATTCCCGAAACACTGTCGCGATCGTCTTTATCGCAGGCATCGCGGATCCGACGCTCGTTATCGTCCGCCTTCGGCACCACCCGCACAGTCATTCGACGGGGTGCTCGATTCTCGAGCGTTTCGTACCGTTTATCCTCGCTGCTGGCCCTGCCGTCATCTTTCTTTCGCGCGACGCCAGCCTCCGAGATCGGCAAGTTCTCGCGATCGGATCGACGAACGGGTCTCTCGCGTCTCGATACGACGACACCTCGAAACGTCGTCCACCGTCTCGATCTCCCGATTCTCGATTCTCGATTCTCGAGCCGGCAGCAATGGCTCGACGAACGAACGTACACGCGTACACGGATAAATAGCGATCTTAGCGTAATCGCGTCCGTCCGTCTATCGTCCGTTTCGTTCGGCCGACTAAATTGCGAGCGATCTCAAGTTGTTTCCCCGACGAAGGATTAGCCGGCCGTGGACGAAGGCGGATCCTACGGATTTTGATCGCGACACGATCGCAATGTTTATGCGCGTGTATTCGACGGAGCGTCTCCCATTCTCCCTTTCCTCCTTTGCTCTTGCTTCGAGCTGCGCGTACGGTAATTCGTTCGACGCGCCCGAAAGCCCGGAGAAGGCTCCTCGTGGTACGCTTCGACGTCGTCGAGGCGTGTCCCCTCGGTTCGAAGGAATTATGCGATTTGCCGGAGTCGACCGACTCCCTTAAATTTCACGACGAAAGCAGCAAAGCGAAACTCGTTCGTCGCAGCAACGGCCCATCGTTGTGTTCCGTGCAACCGATTACATTCGAAACGAGTTTGTCTCGTAATACCAACTTCTAAGCACATTCTAGCTTCGATCGACTGCAGCGACAAGCGTTACTCGGTGAACTTGTTTATCCGCGGGAATCGCTTTCGAGCATGCCGAGATTCCCAGTTAACGGTCTCGAATCGCCAAGATCGATTCAAGAAAATATCCTCCGTTCGGACCGGGTTTAGCTCGGCCAATTCTTTCGCGCGTTCCAATCAGCGTTGCGCACCAGGGAACGCGGCGAACAGAGAGAGAGAGAGAGAGAGAGAGAGAGAGAGAGAGAGAGAGAGAGAGAGAGAGAGAGAGANGTCGTCGGAACGTCGCGAGGGCGGAATATAAGAAGTCTCTCGACTCGCTAGGCATCTCCGCTATTCGTTCGATCCCCACCACCTTCCGCAGCAGATTGTCCGATCGGAGTTCAACCCCCTTATCGTGGTTCGGTACTCACCGATCACGTAGCTATAGCCGTCCAAGGTGAGAACACACTTGCGTGTGTTGGAGGAGCTCGGAATGCCTGGTACAAGTCTGCGGGAAATTCGCTTACCAGGGCTGCAAGGAGTACCGGCGGTACTTACAGCACCTGGGTCCGAGTGGCACTTCTGCACGGGGTCTTTGCTTTGTCTAGACATCATCGTTCTCTTCTGCGCCACTTGTACGCCACTTCTCCGGCAAAAGCAGGAAGAAAGGAAACCTACTTCCGCACCATTCCCAAGCCAGTCCGTGTCTACTTATCCACGCGACGATTCCCGAAACACTGTCGCGATCGTCTTTATCGCAGGCATCGCGGATCCGACGCTCGTTATCGTCCGCCTTCGGCACCACCCGCACAGTCATTCGACGGGGTGCTCGATTCTCGAGCGTTTCGTACCGTTTATCCTCGCTGCTGGCCCTGCCGTCATCTTTCTTTCGCGCGACGCCAGCCTCCGAGATCGGCAAGTTCTCGCGATCGGATCGACGAACGGGTCTCTCGCGTCTCGATACGACGACACCTCGAAACGTCGTCCACCGTCTCGATCTCCCGATTCTCGATTCTCGATTCTCGAGCCGGCAGCAATGGCTCGACGAACGAACGTACACGCGTACACGGATAAATAGCGATCTTAGCGTAATCGCGTCCGTCCGTCTATCGTCCGTTTCGTTCGGCCGACTAAATTGCGAGCGATCTCAAGTTGTTTCCCCGACGAAGGATTAGCCGGCCGTGGACGAAGGCGGATCCTACGGATTTTGATCGCGACACGATCGCAATGTTTATGCGCGTGTATTCGACGGAGCGTCTCCCATTCTCCCTTTCCTCCTTTGCTCTTGCTTCGAGCTGCGCGTACGGTAATTCGTTCGACGCGCCCGAAAGCCCGGAGAAGGCTCCTCGTGGTACGCTTCGACGTCGTCGAGGCGTGTCCCCTCGGTTCGAAGGAATTATGCGATTTGCCGGAGTCGACCGACTCCCTTAAATTTCACGACGAAAGCAGCAAAGCGAAACTCGTTCGTCGCAGCAACGGCCCATCGTTGTGTTCCGTGCAACCGATTACATTCGAAACGAGTTTGTCTCGTAATACCAACTTCTAAGCACATTCTAGCTTCGATCGACTGCAGCGACAAGCGTTACTCGGTGAACTTGTTTATCCGCGGGAATCGCTTTCGAGCATGCCGAGATTCCCAGTTAACGGTCTCGAATCGCCAAGATCGATTCAAGAAAATATCCTCCGTTCGGACCGGGTTTAGCTCGGCCAATTCTTTCGCGCGTTCCAATCAGCGTTGCGCACCAGGGAACGCGGCGAACAGAGAGAGAGAGAGAGAGAGAGAGAGAGAGAGAGAGAGAGAGAGAGAGAGAGAGAGAGAGCCTCTCGAATCGCGATGTTCTTTCGCGACAGTTCAGCCAACGATCCCTCGAATGAATTTTCATCGCCTCGACGCGGTTCGATCGCGTTTCGTTTGCTCGGCTCGACCTCGCCGGAAGATTCTGTCGCGTCCCGCGAGTTCGTTGATCCCTAATCTACCGACCTGTGGATTTCCAACCGTTCCGGCAGACGTTCTCGTCACCGCTGGCACGGGGATTCCACGTTTAATCACCTTTCGCGGAAACGAAAGGCTGCCGATAGGTGGTTATAAATACATCGGTGGCTCGAACCACCCGAGCAAATAGATCGGGGACTCGTTGTTCCCTTCTTTCCTTCTTCCCTCTATCTCTGCGCACTCGAGACTGCGGTATTAGCCGATAAGGCTTCCGTAAAATTTCTGCCGCGATCACCGACCTCTTCGCGCCGATTACTACGACGATCGGCGAACGAGGAACGGCGCGCCGTTCTTCGCGTGGGTCACGTATGGCCGCGAAATTAGTTCGAAACCACGCGCGGCGTGCTCGGAATATTTTGGTCGTCCATCGTCTTCGAGAAATTTCTGCCGCAACGACGAGTCGACGCTGACAACGAAAAAGGGCTGGTTGTTTCGGTGCGCTCTACGCTCCGGCGACTCTTTCCGTCGATTGATCGACGCCGAACGGGCGTCGACGAGTTGGCACGTGTTCGACGCGGGTATCGTCGGGGCTCGGCTCGATGCAAACGACGCGGCCACGGGCACAGCCGGCGCTCTTCATTTCCTTTGCTCGGCCGTCTTCGAAGGGGCAAACGAGATCGTCGATCGCGACACGGTGGATCGCCACGGCCGACCGGCGAAAAGCACGCACGGGAAATTCCGTGCGAACGAGCCCCGAGGGTCGTTCCTTCCTTCCTCGGCGTGAACGGACCGCGAGCAATGAAATTCGCGGGATAGTTTCGCGCGGGTATCCCCGTAACCGGGCCGGACCAGATTTTATCCGATGGTTCGATCACCTTCTTCCGCGGAGCGTTTACGATAGTCGTTACGTACGTGTGCACGGTCACGGAAAGCCACGATGGACGTAGCGCGGCAGGTACATTCCGCGATCGATTCGCGTTACCATAACGTTAAATTCAGTTTGCCCGCTCGTGCACCGGCGCGCCGGCACTCTATCGCGAAGCCGGCGGCACGCGCACCACAGCCGCGTTATCGTTCGTCGATCGATTCTTCCGCGATATCCGTTGATCATCGAGGCCTCGAACGCTCGCTCGTCGATCCCCGCTCCGTTTCTTCGCGTATCACCGTCTCTCCGTCTCTCCGTCTCTCTGTTTCACCGATTCGGCCGTCGATGTACAACAACGCGGCGATATCCGCAGTTCCTCGGAGGATCAAGCGCGTCCCGTCATTTTATCGATGTTTATTAATATCTCGCCGCGGATCGTCGTACTTCCTCTTCGACGGCGCTATTTGCGTTTCGATCGAAGCTACCCTTCCGCCGTGACACTGTCACCTTTCCCGGTATTCCCAGTATTCGATTCACTCGCTGAGAACGCCGAGCATCGCGTATATCTAATAATCGTGGGACTATATCCGTCGACCAGTCTCTCGCTGCCCGAAAGATGACGGAGAGGCGTTGCAGGGCCGGTTCTTGCGAAACGTATCCAAAAGTATCCGTCAAGTATGCGCCAAGGGCCTAACTCGTCTCGGATGAACCGCTGGTTCCGGGTGAATTCTGCATCGCGTTCGGAACCAAGGAAACCACGGTGAACCAAACCTTGGGGTGCCCGGTTCGGAAACGCGGCGCGTCGCGCTAGTAGAAGAACCGCGTGTTTGGTCGGACCTTCGGCCGCGGTGTTTCGTGCTCGTAGAAGCTGCAGGCAGCGGTTGAGGGGGCAGAGCGTGGTTTAGGTGACGGCGAAGCGAGAGAGAGAGAGAGAGAGAGAGAGAGAAAGAGAGTATTTTATAATGGGAGTGCTTGAATAGCGACACGCGAACCATGCGAACCACACGAAAAACGGAGACACGCGTGCGACCTGAGCCGCGGTACCGCTACAACTGAACCATTTGGAACCTCCACCTCTCTCCGAGCTTCCTCCTCTCATTCTCCTCTCCGCTCGAAACCCTCCTGCCTACCCGCCGCGTCGCCCTCTCACTCTTTCGTTCTCCGTCCACCGTCCTGACAGTGGATCATCATTCTTTCTCTCCCTCTCCCTCCCTCCTTCCATCGCGCACTTCCTCTCGCACTCTCTCTCTCTCTCCCTTTCTCTCGTTTTCATCGCGTCCCCTCATTCGTCTCTCTTACGGTATCCTTTCGCTCGTTCCCTCTCCGGTGTTCGTTCCGTGTGAGATCGGTTCCCCCCTTGGTTTATTCTGCTTCGCCCGGTCGGGTCCCTCTTCGGTCGCCGTGTTCCTCTACCCTCGTGGACCGGCAGAGTCCCCATCGGGTAAGCATCTGGGACACTTTCCTTGCGCTCCGACGAGGATGATCGGCCTTCCGGCTAGCAGTGGTCCGGATCGAAGAATTTAGCGCCATTTTGCTTTCGAAAGTTCGACGCACCTCGAAAATCAACCGATCGATCCAATCGAATGAATCGTTGCTAAAAAAACTAGTGCTGAACTACGAATCAAAGTCCAATATTATTTTCTAGGGTAACGAACGTCGAAGAATAAATAATATAACTATTAACCAAAAACAAAGTATATAATTACATTGTATTAAAGTTTCGGGGCGGTTGTTTTTAATATATTTGTCGACAAAAATTAATTTATATTTCCTGTAGTTTGTACTTTCGAAGAGGATTAGTTCGAGACAGATCCAGCGGTTGTATCGTTTCGTGGGCGTGATCGTGGCAACGGAAATGCCTCGAAGTAAATTTGCGAATGTGTTGACAAGGACGATTAAGCGTTAGCTGGGGAGTTTTGCGGTTCGTTCGACGTGCGACGTGGACGAACCGATCGCGTAGGTATTTGGTATTCGGTCGAGTTTTTACCGTCGATGTGGTCGAAACGCTATTCAGTTTGTTACGGAATATCATTAGTTGTTGCAAAACTGATTAGAAACTAGGTTAGGTCCAGAAGCCGTTTATTTGGAGTAATCGACTTCCGATCCCACCGATGGTGTTGCAACGATACGCGACTAATTTCAGCGATATCGTCGAGTATCGGTGCAAGCGGTATATTTTCTTGAAAACTCGTATCGAGTGAAAACAGCGAAACAGTTTCTTAACGTTGCGTTCAAGATTGTTCGAGGTTATGTCAACCCCGTGCAAAGTTCTTGAAAAAAGTAAATAAAATCCTGCAGACTCTATTCTTGTTCGGACATTTAAACGATCCATTGTATTCTTCCCTCTATTTTCTTCTCGTTCTCGCCGCCTACGGCCTACATATCCCTCGAGTACATTCTGTTTCCGTC